CCTCGCGCACGGGCGTCAACCGCACTCGGAGGGGCTTGAACGCGGCCCCCCGCCCCCCTCGCCGGGTCCCCACGCCCAGCTGCCACGCAGCCAGTCCTCCTGCCCTTCTTTGGGCCGCCGGCTTCACGAGTCCGTAATACGCATGTGCACACCCTGGGCCGCCGGCGAGCCTTCAGCCGGCCGGGGGCGGGGCGGGAGGCGGGACCAAGTTTCCTGCGCACGCTCGGGCCATGCGCAGTGCGGGGGCTGAGGCGCCAGACGTCGATTGGGAAGTTCCGGGGAGGCAGCGCATGCGCTCATGTTCGCGTTGCCGGCGAAGACGGGAGCCTGACGACTCGGAAATTTGAATACCACTAGCATGGAGTGCGACCTTATGGAGACTGACATCTTGGAGGCGTTGGAGGATCTCGGGTGAGAGCACCGGGGCGCGGGTGTCCCGGTCCCCGCACTGCCGCCTCGGCGGGCGCGCCTCGGGAGTCCCACACGGAGGCACCTGCCCGTCCGCGCCGCTCCGCCTGCCGCCTCCCTGAGGCGCCGGGACCCCGATGCCACGTCCACGGTCTGCCCTCCGGGTCAGGGCCCTCGTGTGGGACTCCCCTGGGCCCGCCGGGGCTCCTTGCCGCCGAGTTACCCGCAGCGCTTGTCAGTCACGCGTGTCATTGTCTGGGCGCCGCTTCTCGCCACCCCCTCTCGGAGCCGCTCTCCTTGCCCCCATCCTCCCGCTCTGCCCCCTCACTCTAGAGGTTGCCGAAGTTGATCCCCCGATTTCCCACTCGCCCCCCAAACTTCCTCTGGGGAGCGCCCCCCTACCCCACCCGCTTTCCCCGACACCCTGCTTTGCNTGCCCAGTCATCTCCGCGCGCACCCAGCTCCCGGAGCCGCGTGTCCGCGCCGCCGGCCCGCGGGCGCCCACCTGTCACCAGCTCCGGGAACCGCGGGCCGCTCCCGCGGCGCTGACACTCCTCTGAGCCATTACTGGCCCTGACTTACCCTTAGGGTCGTCGTCACCCGCGGAATCCCTGCGTGTTTGCGGCGCCTTTTGTCTCCCCCTCCCCCCGGCAGTTGACTGACCGCAGTTCATTTCATCTACGAGATGGGAATCGGGCTTCGTGTCCGACTTGGGTCGCCCAGACCCGAGCGCGCTGCTCAAACTTGAAAACTCAGAACCCCTTGCGAATAACCGTGGTTTCGGAAACAAATGATTAACAAGTGATTAAATATTTGGCTATAGGAAGCATCAGGCTCCACCTGAAGCCACCCCTCAGGGAGCACTTTCGAGGAGCACTTGCTGGGTGGCGGTGTTGGGCTGAGCACTTAGGGGTGCAAAGTGAGGTGGGGGAGACGTTCACACTGTTAAGAATGTGCTGTCAGGAGACTTGAGGAAGGCCCCTGGACTGCAAAAGGAAATGGAAGTCCTAAAAACTTTTTTTTTTAATGTTTATTTTTTATTTATTTTTATCCTAGAAGCTCCTAAGAAGTAAGGCTTAAGGTTAGTGTTCAGAGAGCTGTAGGATGAAAGGATCAGGTAGACCTTATTTAAATGTAGTCATTCTGCAGGGGCAGAGGTCGCCTAACAATTGGTGCTGGGTGCTGTCTCTCCCTTTATTGCTCTTTTACCCTCTCTTAACTACACTTTTCTTCTATTGGGTACTGTAAAAGTAATTGTTACTGTAATAATTGTGATCAAGTAATTAGTTAAGATGGGTTGTAATGTTAACCATGGGATTTTCTGAAAACTTTGCTATACATTTTAACCGTAACTACTGGGTTTGGTGGCATTCATTCATTAAAATTTAGCCTTAATTGATTGATGTGTGCTTTTAAAGGATTCACTGAGAAATAATAGAATTAAATGGCTATCTTTTATCTCTAATTCGGCACACAGTAGGAATTCAGTAACTGCTTGTAAAATAAAAGAGCAAAATCTAAATGTGTAACACCAGGAGAAATTTCTAATACGTGGTTTTAAATCTAGATGTGAGATTTATAACCTCATTTTTTTATGTAACACTTCCATTCCATTCAGTGTGTACATACATAATTGTATTTTAAAAGGATCAAGTATTGTCATTTCTCTAACTTCTTTATACCACTAAACATCAAATTATCTTAAGCATGTTTAATGTATCACCTTTAATAGCAGGATTTTTATTAATATTTTATTTAAAAGAAGATAAAATAATATTCTGAAGAATCTATATTTTAAAATTATTCGGAGAATGATAAAGTCTTTAATTATAGCTATATCCTAGATTGGAGTTCATTGTTATTATTGCCTTTTATGAATGTTTGAACATTTAGTAATTTTTTTAAAATTACATTTGAATCACTTACAAAGGGTTAGGTTTCAGTTGTACCTGTTCACCCAAACACCAACTCACCAGCAATTATTAAATTAAACTTGACATTTCTCTGGTACTAGTAGTCTTAACCGTCATTAATATAGAAAAAGGAAATAAATGATTAATTGGAAAGTTTTTGCTTTTAAAGAAGTAATTAAAAACCTAACCTAGTTTATTTCTGGAAAAATAATCAAGAAAAGATAGCCTAAGTTTTATTTCTGAAATAGTAAACTATAGTATAATTAGCTGTCACTTGTTAATCTGGTTTTAATCCTCAGTTCAGTTAAAGTAAGAAAATCTTGGTACAGTAGGAGCTTTCAGTAAGTGTATGAACTTGACATAAATATTCACCTATATTTTGAAGGGATAAAATGCAGTTACCATTTAGCTCATTTTTCTAATGGCTTGGTATAATTCTAATTCTTATTTATATTTGCAAGTTTAGAAATTGGTGATCATAACTTATCTTTATTAAACTATTGCTTATATACAAATAATACATAAATATATTGTGTCTGTAATATATTAGGTGTGATTTTATATTCTTCTGAAGTGTGATTTCTTAACTTGCCAGTTACAAGGGTCCATTGTTAGAAGATGGCGCTCTGTCCCAGGCAGTCTCTGCTGGAGCCAGTTCCCCTGAGTTTACCAAACTCTGCGCTTGGCTGGTGTCTGAATTAAGAGTGCTCTGCAAACTGGAGGAAAATGTGCAGGCAACTAACAGTGAGTAAACGTTCAGTTTTAGGTGCAAAATAGAAAAATAAAATTTGCATATTGTCAATTGAACATTGTCAGTACTTAAGCTAAAATTTCAAGTTCTTTGTAAATATAAAAAAAATTTACAAAGCAACCAAATTCTTTGCCTCATTGTTTTTAGAGACAGGTGTTTCAGAAGTTGAAAAACTAAAATATAGTCATACAACTGTTAAAAATTTGTGGAAGTTGGTGATACAGAAAAATGTAGACAAGTAATAGCACATATGAACTTTCCATTCTTTGTAAAGCTTGACTTGCAAGATCTTAAATTGGTGGCTAGCACTAGAAATTTGGATATTTTTCTTTTTAGACTACCAGATTCTAGAAGAATGTCTAAATATAAAGTAAATGCACTGTAATTGTTATATATAGGGAGAAAGAACACTTTACTAAGAAGTTTTCTGTATCATAAGAGGATATCACTAGACATACCACAACCAGATCCAATACCATCAGATTTATGGCATTGAGAGCTGTATTATATTTGCCATTTTTGTCAGTGTTTTAGCCATAACAACTATTGTTTTGTTGATTCTGCAAAAGAGACAAAGGTTTGGAACCTGGCACTCCACCGCCTGATTCCCTCCTACCATAGGTAAACCTATAATAGGAGACAGAATGCTCACCCACTGTTATGGAGAACTATATGTATAATCCCATTTTCTTTTTTCCAGAATTCCATTGTGAAGAGCTCACTCTTGCATGTTTAGTATATTTAATGTGTACATGTTAATTGCACCCAATTCTAATTTTTAAGGAAAGTATACTACAAAAGTAATGATAGCAGCAGCTTACATTTATTGTGCACTTACTATGTTCTAAGTACTTTACATATGTTAACTCAGGGCAGTCCTGTGAGGCAGGTATTATTACTCTTTTATACATTAAACAAGAAGCACAGTGAGGTTAAATACATCGTCTGAGGTCATACAACCAGTGAGTGATAAAGCCAGGATTCAACCCCAGCAATCAGATTTGGGAGCCAGTGCTCTTAACAGTGTCTCTTGACTTAACATTTCAGAGATTGTAAGAACTTTTGAACAAACATCTGTGCTAGATGGTAACTATTTATAACCTGGAACCCCTTTGTTCACATGAAACATTTTATAAAAGCCAACATATAAAACAGATAAATAGTGTAGCTGTTGTAGCTGAAGTTGAGAGGGAGTACTGTTAGCACAACTCTCCTCATCCTCCCAGCTGCCCCTAAAGGAGTTCTGTGGAACTCTGGAGTTCACAGAACCCAGTTTGCAAAACCTTGATAAGACAGTCTTCTCACTTTATAGATGAGAAAAGGTCTGAGGTCAAGTAACTCCCAGAGTTTGTCAGTTAATGTTTGCCCCTTTGTGATACTGAATAGAGAGCCATGAAAATAGTAAGAAGAAATAGCATTGTTTGTCCTTGGTTCACCCAGTGCACTCTATACATGTTATGGGGATACAGAACTACAAGTCATGTTCACTACCTTCAAATTTAGTCTGGAAACTAGAAATGTTTGGCACAAATGAAACAATTGGATATTAGTGGTAATGAAATGCTTTACTTTGTGGTTCACAGGGAGAGGAAATCAGTATGATAGTACTTGGGGAAGGTTTCATCAAGGAGCAAGACCACTAGGCTTTGATGGATAGGTGGCATTTGATAGAGGAGGGGAGGGGAGGGGGCATATCCATCACAGGAAATAATTAAATGTAAGCAGAGAAGTTGAAATTCGACTGACCTAGGACCATGAGGAGACTGGCCTAGCACAAATAGAAGGAATATTTGTGGAAGTAGTAAATAATTACTTTATATATAATAATCTGCTGGGAATGGCAAAGCAGAGAGGCTATAAAGATCTTTAAAAGACAGAAAAATTAGATTAGGTGAGGTAGAAATTAGAAAGCCATTAAAGAGTCTCAAATAAGGCAATAACCTAATGAAAGTATTTAAGAAATTTGTCAGTGGTGTGAGAAAGGATAAATTAGAAGAAAAAGGAACTTGTGTTAGGAAAATCATATTAAAAATTTCAGCATGTGTGTGTATCTGTGTATACTAATGGGGAAAACAATCATTTTTATTAAGTAAGATTATTTTAATTCTTAAAAGGCCCGAATGAAGCTGAAGAATTCCAGCTTGAGGTGAGTGGGCTACTAGGGGAGATGAACTGTCCATATCTTTCACTGACATCTGGGGATGTGACGAAGCGCCTTCTGGTTCAGAAGAACTGCCTCCTGTTGCTCAGTAAGTTCATGGCTACTAGAATGTAGCTATTATGTTCTATTTATGTTTTCCATGACTAATAAACTAGTTGTTACTGTTCTGTATCATTATGGATTTAATTCAGAATACTACTTATTTTAAAGAAAACGTCATTAAATTTCCAGCTTAGAAGCTATTCATCCTTCTGTGCACTGGTAGCAGAGTTGTTTTGTAATTGCTACTCTTTTATCATTTAATTGGAGGTACTCAGGCTGTTGTGCTTCACCTACTTTGACCAAAGGTAGTGCTGGAATGTTGTTCAAATGTGTGATGGTTACATCTTGGTGTTCTGGACTGGAAGCACATTTTAAATAGACTGGAAAGCAGTGTGGGAATAATGAAGTTCTTTTTTAAATTAAAATAGCTTGTCTTGTTTCTTTGTGGTTGGGTAATTGTTTAAGGGTGTTGGTTTTGTTTGTAAATGTAAAATTTTCTGCAATGATATTTGCTTTGTTTCTGTACCTACTGATCATTGTGGGAAATAAATTATAAAAATTCTTTCCTTCCATATTTTTTCTATACTAACTACTATTTCTCTCTTCACCCTGAAAAACAGTAAGTAGACTCACAAATTTTGTTATCTTGAATAAACTCTCCAGTAAACTCAACCAGTAGTCTCAACTCAGAATTTTCATAGCATTCTGAGACACATTCAGATTAAGCTTTGGTTAACTGAATAGTATAGTTTTTATTATGACAAACACAACTTAGAGGATTTTAAAAATATTTGTCTTTACAGCCATACTATGGTTTCTAGAAAATGCTACAACTCTAATTTTGAAAGTTTAATTTAAAAAAGAAATATGTTCATATCCATTATACTTAGCACTAATTATTCCAGAATCACTTTTTTTTTTTTTAATATGGGACGCTTCACGAATATGCATGTCATCCTGCGCAGGAGCCATGCTAATCTTCTGGTATCGTTCCAATTTTAGAATATGTGCTGCCAACGCCAGCACCAGAAGCACTTTCTTCACTTCCCCATTGTCAGATGATTGTTGCTGGGGGGCTGTGCCCCTAAGATCAGATACTGCTTTAGATACTGATATTGCTGCACATGGTTTTTGTGTGCATGCGTTCAGCAACCCTCAAATCGTAATTTCTGTTACTGGCTCAGCCACAGTGTGCTCAGTGATTCTTCCTTGGCAGCACTGTTTATCTCTACCAACACCTAATATTTGGCACTTAGAATATGTTATCTTACATGGCAAGACAACAGCTGTGTGGAAAGGTTAGCAATAACCCTGAATAGCCACTTCTTCCAAAGAGCTGAGAATTTGGCCTTTTTAGTGCTGATACTTATAAAACCCACTTTGAATATAAATCTTTATAAAACACCTTTAACTCTTTCCTCTTTCTTAAGCCAACTGCACAGAACATGATTCTTTTGAACTCAGGGTCAATATTAATTGACTGTTTTAATGTGCTATCACCTCAAAAGCTTTTCAAGAATATGCATCTATTTGCTCCTCAACTGACTGAGTCAGCTAAAGGTCACCCTGCTCTCTGAGTTCTTCACACACACACGCACCCACTACTTGCTTCCCTCTTAGTCTCTGCTTTTGCTGTTTCCCCTTTTCTAAAAGATTGCCCAGTTTGTTTCCTCTCTTTCATGCTAATGTTTATGTACATGTCCTCATTCTCTGCTTGCTCCATGTGAATACTTGTCTTTCCAATATCAGTTGTCACATCTTGATGCTATAATTTTACTTACTTCTAGCCCCCTTACCTTTCTGATTTGAATCTTTTAATACATTGTGTTTTGAGGGGGGGAAATAAACCACCCTCATTAGAATTGTTAGTAAAATAAAAGTCTTAGAATAAGCAGCTGAAAAATTCATGTCAAGTTAAGAACTATTTTAGGTGTTCATTGGCCTTTCTGGTTGTTAGAACATTGCCCTTAGGTTAAATAAGTCGTATCTAAGTTTCTAGTAGATGATGAACTATTCACCTTTTTAAGCATTTATTCTTTATTCTTTACTGGATTTTCAGTAGAAGTAATCGTTTTTGTTTGTTTTGTATTAAATACCCAGTCAGTGCCTTTCCTAGTACTTTGAACACATCAGCTACAGTTAATGCTTTTTGATAGTAATTGTATTGGTGAAGTGATTTTGTGAATGCCTGAGCCACGTTGTCCTAAATTTAGAGAACACATTTATTAAATCATATAACATATGATTTTCTAGAACAAGGGTTGGCAAACTTTCTTAAAGGGCCAGATAATAAATATGTTCAGCTTCATGAGCCATAATCTCTGTCACAACTCTTAACTCCACTGCTGTACCGTGTAAGCAGCCATTGACAATATGGAAATGGCTGAATGTGGCAGTGTTCCAGTAACACCTTATTTATAAAAACAGTGATTATTCTCATGACAGTGGGATTTTACTGTTTTGATCTTTTAACTCACATAGTTGGCTGTATGGAACACATTAAGACTTTATCAAACCCGTTTAGAATGACCTTTCCAGAAACTTAGCTGTATTTGTTGTTCTAGAATAGCAGTTGGAAGCTTTTCAGAAATGATCTGCCAAAATTATGATTCCTATACTTCTAGCATTACACCTTGGGTATAATGATCATTCAGTACTTCTAAACTTAAGAACCCAGAAAATGTCTTTTTTCAAAACTAATATTATCAGGAGGTTCTCACTTTGTCACATACCTGAAATCCTGAGATCCAAATGATGACTAATCATCTTTTATAAAAATGTAAATGTCCTTGGGAAGGTTAAAGGAATAAGACTGATTATTGATACCGTCACCTTAATTACCTGAAGCAGATTGCAGCCCTCATTATACCTGACCAAAATTAACACACGGGATGATACTGATACGAAAGGACTCTGCCAAGAAATGATTTGAAAGTTTTGTTGTTGCTTTCATAGGAGTGTGAGAATGAAGAAAGTAGGGGGGAAGGGAATACAGAGAAGAATATAGATGGAAGAGGGGGCATTATTTTGAACAGCCAGAGGGTGACATTAGGCTACTGGAGACCATAAAAAAGGAACTTTGGGGAGTTTAGTGCCTTCCCCCTTCTCCTGTAAGTTAAACTCTGCTTAAAAATGTTGTTTCACGCCAGTTCTCAACAGACTTCCTAAGTATTGGGAGGTAAGAGGAACAGATAGTTCTATCACTGGTGCATGTCAGTGGTGAGAAGTAAAATAAATAATAACCTTTTTAACTGTCACCGAAAATTTGCCACCTGCCACCTTTTGCAAATTTGTCAACAGATGCCAACCCCTGTTCTGTAGATTCCTTAATAGCGAAATGCAAAAATCCAGATTTTTAGATGTGATCTACCTTTTGGTTTCAAAGAATCGCTTATTTTTAAATCACCCTTTAAATATATATTGGTTAAGTACCTGAATTACAGAACCAGTTTATGTGCTATGTCATTTGAGGTAAAAATGGTTTTCCTTTCTTGTTTTTGTCCATTCTTGCAGCTTTAAAACTTACATATCATTAGGTCTATAGAGTTGTGACTCCAGACTTATGACTATTAACCGTAGCTGTATCTCATTTTGAAATCTTATTTTGTTTACTTCAGCATACCTCATCTCAGAACTAGAAGCTGCCAGAATGCTCTGTGTGAATACTCCTCAAAAAAAAGCTCAAGAAGGAGGCGGTAGTGAGGTCTTTCAAGAGTTGAAAGGCATATGTATTGCTCTAGGAATGTCCAAACCTCCAGCCAATATAACTATGTTCCAATTCTTCAGCGGGATTGAAAAAAAAGTAAGACCTTTAGTACCAGATTGTAGTGTATTAAAGGCATAGTCCTACATTTGTTAATTTCTCTTAATGGGAACCTAATGTGCATATTATTAAGTAATTGTTACTAAATGAGTTTTGGGTTTTAAATCCTGGATGCCTTAAAGAGAAATTAGTATTTTAGTGTTTTTCTGACATGTTAGCGTGTTTCTTTTTCAAAAAGGAAACTTGACACTTTGATTTATGAGCTGAAATAAGCTAGATATAATGTAAAAGAATTAAGTCCTTTTAAAAATTATTTTATCATTGAACTTTGATGCAATTACTTTTAAAGTCTTTATCATCGTTAACTGTTGCCACCCTCCTCCCCACTGACTGGGCAGAAAGGATGTTAACGTTCTTGGTTCTTAATCCACTCACTCTGAGTCTTGCAAGTTTCAATTGGCAAATTAGACTTCTCGACTGCTAAAGTCATCTAGTACGTGAAAATAATTCATGCCACACATGATCAACAGTGAGGAGGTTTTTTATAATTTATTAGGAACAAGCAATTTTAATAAAATTAATGAATAGAAGCGAATGATGTTTGCTCTAGCAGAGTTACTCTCTGTATGCATGGTACAGAATTGGTACATTTGCATTGTGGGGCAGATGGACACCATGATGCACAAATCTGGCTGAACTCTACAGGGGAGCAGCAGTATATCCATAGTCCCTATTTTTCTGTGTGTTCATTCATCCATTCAGGAAATACCCATTAAGTGCCTACCATTGTCAGGCACTGCTGTAGGTGCAGTGAAGAAATCATGCTTCTGTAGGCACGTGAGGAGAGGGCAGTGAGTGTCTTTATTGTGTGGGTCTTGTACATTTCAAAACATCCTCCATCTTTGCCTCTGTCAGGAATCTTCTTTTGATGGCAAGATATGATGGGACTTGGGAAGATGAGGAGGATATGTGTAACTTTTAGACTTGTTTATTCATTCATTTATGTTTTTGTGTCAGTTAAAGGAAACATTAGCAAAAGTTCCACCTAATCATGTGGGAAAGCCTTTATTGAAGAAGTCATTGGGACCAGCCCACTGGGTGAGTAGCGATCATCTGGAGTGAAATTGCAAGGAACCATCCATCTATCTTAAGATATTTATGTTGACACGTACAGTTGGTGCTTTTTACGTTATAGTTTCTGATATGGAGTTTCGTAGGTGGACATCCTTAGAATCATTTTTGTGAACCTTAAGATTTGTGCAGCATAATTTTATTTGTGTAAGATTAGAAACACTTATCTCATAATTTGTAAATATTTCACACAGCTGATTAAAATAAACAGAAGTTCGGTATGATGCATGTTTCTAATTGCCAAATGGGTTGCCTTCAAGCCAAAAACATCATTGGGCTGAGCTTCACACAATGGATTATGGGAAAGCTAAATGAGAATTTTGTATTTTACATATTTTTATTATGTTTTGAGACATTATTTTGCATATCATTTCCTTAATTTATTATAACTTATTATTTATTAAATAACTATTTTGTGCTAAGTACTGGGATTCACTTATGAATGAGACAGGCAGTTTCTGCCCTTTTAGAACAGTGGTCAAGCAAATTTAAATTCTAACTTCTAAAAAAAAATTTTGTTTCAGGAAAAGATAGAAGCAATTAACCAAGCCATTGCTAATGAATATGAAGTTCGGAGAAAGCTGCTAATAAAACGTTTGGATGTCACTGTCCAGTCTTTTGGTTGGTCTGACCGAGCCAAGGTACACATTAAATAATTTAGAAGAGCAGAGTATTTATAGACTTGATCCTTAAGCTTTCCTAGTACAGTTTAGATACAGTGGAGACTACAAGAGAACTATATAGGCAACACTCACAGGAACCTTTTTCTAGTAAGTTGCTGAGTAGCCGTTCTTTCAGCTATTTAGCAATAGTGAAAACATGTATTTTTCAATTTTTAAATATTGTTCAACAAAACTATGTTATAGACCCTACTTACAGGAAGTACCCATATGTGAGAGAAGTGGAGAGAGTATCTGAAAATTACTAAAGTAATAAATTTTAAAATTATTTTAGGCTAACAATTTTATTGGATTTAGAAAGAGCAAATATCATGATTTATAGAATTGGAGAGTAAGAATTTTATTGGATTTAAAATCATACTTTAGGCTAACAATTTAATTTCATTGGATTTAGAAAGACCAAATATTATGATTTATAGAATTGGAGAGTAAGACTTATTTCAGTTTAAATTAGATAATCCAGGTAGAGGTCTTGGTCATTCAACAAGTGTTTATTAGATATCTACTGTATGATTAGTAAGTGGGAATTAATGGGCTGTGTTTAATCTAGGTGACATTTAAGATTCTGTTGAACTATACAAATTACTTTTACAAATCTACTTTTTCATTTAATGGAATTTATGAACTGATACCTCACTTTGAAACTTCGTTTTAAATTACATGGTAGAAATTACTTTCATATGCACAAAGTAAACTTTTATCTCACATATGAAATTTGTGCAGTTATATCGCGCTTTGAAATTGCATATTAAATCAGTTTTATTTGAAACATATGAAACCATTTTCTCAAAGGTGTTTTGTTTCCATTCAACAAACATTGATTGAGCACTTATTTAGATACAATAGTGACTCTTAAGAAAAATATAAGACATTCAGGAAACATTACCCAGACAAACATAGAATGACAATCTTTTTATTCTTTTAATTATTAAAGAAACTTTTTAAAAGTCACAGATCTCATTGTCTTAACCACAACAGCTATTGACATCTTTCATTGTTCATATATATCATAGTGAATGTACCTTTTTACATTCTATTTTTTCATTTAATGTAATCCAAATATTTACCATCAATATTTGATTACCTGCATATAACCAAAAGACTTAACGAATATTTTTGTTCTTGTGCTGACTTGCTGTATGTTGTAGTTGTAGCTGTTGCTTCCAAAATTTAGTAGGTAGGGGATTGTTGCTGTTTCCCAAAACATACGTTACTTTAATTTGCACTTGTTGATTTCTATCTGGAAACAATGTTTATATTTATTTGAACTCACATTCTCTTGTGTGAACTTTCTCTTTATTTTTTTTATCTGTCATTTGTGGTCTTATGTTTGAAATAGATTTAAATGACTTGTCCGAGTTTTCTAATTTCCCAGTGATTTGTCTTTCTTATTAGATCTAACAGCCTTAATCATTAACTGACACTTCTACTAAATAGTTATGGTAGACCCTTTGTTCTTATTTATTATTTATACTAGAGGAAAGTATTAAATAGGGGGATCACTTTTATAAGAAATGTATCATGTTATTGTATTAGCAACGTAATTAGTACAGGTTAGTCACAGCTAACATTTTGACCTCATAATAAGCAAAGATGGGAATATTAAAAAGCAAATGACCTTTTAACCTTTTTTATAGCTTCACAGTCCAAAAGGGCCCCTTTCCCCTCTGGGCACTCCCTCTCCTTTACCCCTAAAACATAGACAGCTGTACTTTAATACAGTTCTTGATGAGGTTGGAGCAATGGTGAGTATATAACTTCCCCCCTCCCATCTGGAGCCTAGTAAAAATTATTGTCAGACATTTTGGAAATCTTGAACTTACTTAGTATGAGTGTTTCTATGTCATTTTGAAAACTGACATTTCTTTTGAATACTTTCTTTCAACAGAGTCAAACAGAGAAATTAGCAAAGGTTTACCAACCGAAACGTTCAGTCTTATCTTCTAAAAGTACTATTTCTATTGCTCATCTTTTGGCTGCAAGACAAGACTTGTCAAAGATTTTAAGGACAAGTAGTGGTTCTATAAGAGAGAAGTCTGCCTGTGCCATCAATAAGGTGATTAGCGTACCTTTAATTTTCTTTCAAATACATTTATTTCTGTTTACAAAATAAAGTTGTTTAAAATGTCGCTGTGGCCCTGTAGGTGCTGATGGGCAGGGTGCCCGACAGAGGCGGCAGACCCAATGAAATCGAGCCCCCGCCCCCGGAGATGCCGCCCTGGCAGAAGAGGCAGGACGGCCCGCAGCCGCACGCGGGCCGCGGGGGGAGAGCGGGCCACGAGCCCTCGTTCGGAGGACGCGGCGGCCACGAGCAGGACGGAGGGCGAGGTGGACGCGGGGCGCGTGGCTACGACCGCGGCGGCTACGACCACG